TTAAATGGTGTTAATATCACACTACCCATTTTCACCAGCATGGCTCTGTACACTGGAGATCATTTCCTAACACACTCCATCTGCTCAAGGAAATATCAGTTGATGTCAGTTCACCTTCATACTTCCCTTTCTTCATCCCTCTCCTCATTGAGATGCAAATAATCTCAAAAGCTTTCACAATACAATTCATTGGACTGTACAATGCACAAAACCACCCCCCAAAAACTTCTTACTGTTGCAGAAAAAATCCTGATGGAAAGAAGTTCATTCCTGAGGATCCCATGGTCCGACAGGACCACACGATCAGCCCTCTGTGAGACCCTGCTTTCTTGATGACCTGCCTTTCTCTGGGGATGAGCAGCTCCTCCTGCTTTCTACTCGTGCTCATCATTCAACACGAGACTTTAGATTTTACCTACCACACCTCAATAAATTTGCGCTGAACAGAGACTGACTAATTCCCTGCAGGGATTTTTGTGGGTGCTCCTCATCCTGAAGAATGTTTTACAAATAGTTGGTGTACTTAATGAGGCACTAAGAGATTGCAGTAGGATCTTGCTATCCTCTATGTGCTTCGGTGATTAGAGGTGGGTAAGCAGGCATTTGCTGACATCAGAAGGAAAAACGGCTTATATTTAATTAGGGGTTCTATGAGAAAATGCATGTGAAGATTTCAGGTCCAAACGCTTCATTATACCCCTCCTTCCATGCCGACCTTCACCTTTTCTCTCTTTGTCAGTTGTATCTTCTATTTATGAAAAGTATGGTATTTTTAATGAAAGCAAAATCAATCTGTGTCCTCTCTCTCAACACTGCTGGCAGAAACTTTCTCTCAAGTATTTCAGATTAAATTTCTGTCACACCAAAGTCAGTGGAAGTGCAAAACATCTGGAAATTGCATCTTAAAATTCAAAACAAAAGGCAATATAATGTATAGTAAAGGCAGAAGTCATAAAGAAAAACAATAATGATCAGCTCTTTGCATACTCTTGGTTTGTTAGATTTTATTTTTATTTTTATTTTTTGCTTTCTGAAATGATATATGAAATGTTCAGCTGGGATCTGTCCCAGCTTGATGACTGCAATTTTGCAGAAGGAATCATTTGTTATTTGTTAAGGTGTGGAAAATGGGAAACTCACTTTCCTGCAGGCAAATACCCAAGTGTTTTGGCACAGTTTAATGCTGTTACATCACTTGATTTTCATGCCTTCGATTGAGTAAGAATTTAATATCTTAATTGATTGCACATGGGCGGACAACCCTAACCACCCCCACATGAAAAAACTGGAGGAGTTTGTGAACTAGGTTATGTATAAACATGCAGTGGAATCACTAAGTCAGAATCCTCGCTCTTGACAATTTCAGTCTCTACCCCAGCTTGTACATTCTTCCCAGATGTACGTGGCTGTGTGAGTCCCTTTTTAGCTATTCCATGCATCATTGTTTTCAGCGCTGTTGATGTCAAGCAGAGTAAGGCACTCCATCATATGAATGAGCATAAGCTACTGTACATCAATACCTTCTGGAATGCAGCCAGATAACATCCTCCCATGCAAAATAAAGCAGGCACTTAACTAATGATCTGCTGCAGCAGCATAGCTGGCATCACCTTTTGGCTCCATTTGAAGCTCTGAAAACAAAAGCAATATTTGAGTGACTGGGACACTTTATCACTCTCAGAAAAGCATGCACTAGATGTTTTGTCTTTATCAGATATAACAGGTCAATTAAAGCAAGTAAACATTTACTCAGTAAGCAATCACTTTTTGTTCTTCAAAATAACAACTTGGAGAGGTGAGAGGTTGGGAGAAGACACGATACAGCCATAAAAGTAGAAAACTACCAGGGGCCCCTAGTAATATGCATATATTTAAAGCAGTAATTCCTAGTCGGAGTTTCCTAATCATCCATCTCTAGGAAGCAGAAATAACCAAATAGATCTGAAGTTGTGTTTTTCAGCCAATAAAATTCTGTTTCTCAGGTATCTAAAATCAATCCAACTTGCTACTCTATTTCGTGTCTGCTTTGTCATGTCAAGAAATGCTACCTCATTAGGACAAATAGAAGCAGCTGACTGCCAGCAACAGCTGAAATTCACCTTCAAGAATCATAGAGCCAACTTAGGTTGGAATGGAGCACTGGAGATCACCTGGTTCTACACATCTCTGCCCTACCACCAAACCATGGCCACCTCAGAACAGATCAGGTCTCCATAATCTCTTTGGGCAATCTATTCCAATGTTTGACTGCTCTCATTACGAAATTTGTTTTCTTCACATCTAATTGGAATTTCTCTTGCCGCAATTTGCAGTATTCTCTCTCTTCCTTTCATTGTGTGCCTCCAAGATGAGTTGGTCTTCTTTGTACCCCAACCCTGCAGAACAGCTGAAGACAACAGGATTCACCTTCTCACCTTTGCTAGAATTGCCCCAGTAATCCAGTGTCTTTTGTGTGCTGGAGAACCCAGACCTGTACACAGTCCTCCACATGCAGCCTTAACAGGGAAAAATCATGATTTATTTTGATGTGACAATGGCATCATTAGCAATACAGCCCAGTATGTGGGGTCAGATGACGTTGCTGTAGGGGCAAACCACTGACTCACGTTCAGCTTGTCTACCACAAGAACGACACCATATTCTCCCCTCAAGCTTCTGCTGAGCATTCTTGGAGGCAGCATGCTGACCTAGATGAACCTGTGGCCTGCCTGGGGATGACAGGTCTCAGGTTGTCAGACCAGCTCTGCTGAAAGACTACAAAGGCAAACAAGTGCCTGCAAGTTTGGACAGAAAAGTGCCCCAAATGAGGCATGTTTTCAGCTGACTGGTACGTATTTTCTTCAATTTGCTGGATATGAATTCTTCCCATTCTTGAAGTTCTGCACATGGATACTATGATATCTTGGTAACCTTTTAAATCAGACTTGTCATAAATGCTGTGTGACATTAATTTTACAGAATTTTGAGATTTTGAATCAGTGTATTACTTCGCTGCAGAAGGTGAAACAAAATATTTATTTCTATGTATGGCATTTTCCTCCTAAATCTTCCAGATAGATTTGATGTTTCAAAATGCACAGAACTCCAGAACTCTGGCAGACTCCCTGCCGTGCCAGCTTCCAGCATTCAGCCTCACACTCTACAGTACGTCACAGCTTCTCATCAGAACTGTCTCTCTCCATCTCATCAGTGGTCTGGGAAAGCCCGACAGAGCGTCAGGTCTGCTGCTCAGAAAGTGAATGCCAACCTGATATGAAAACCCTAACCAAAATGCCTAAATGTTAACAGAAAGGAAAGGAAGGATTTCACACCACGGATTTGCTACTGTAGGGCATAGAATCAAAAATCCTAATAGCAAGACAACTTTCAAATGCCAAGAAAATTTAATTCAAAATCTGTCTCCCTCATCAGCCCCCCTCGCCTCCAAATGCCCTGTACTCCTTTCTTCACTAGGCCTCAGAAAATCTTCCTACATCAACTCAGAAGGCTGCAAACAGACATTTATACCCTTTTTCTAGAGCGATGTGATGGATACTAGAGTTGCATCAGTCAATATGCTCTGTAGCACAAAATGAGGTGAGGCGGCGTAACCGAAGCGGGGTGTTTCCTCATACCAGTGTCAAGGAAGCTGCATGTTCTGTCAAGCTGCAGTTTTGTAGTTTCAAGTTGCCCTTAAAGTCTTGTTTGCTAACAAACTCTTTGGACCAAAGATCAGGAGCATCTTCTGATTTGTTCTGGTTTTTTCTCTTGTTGCCTAGAGCAGGTAACAGCATTAATCAACAGACATTTCCTGAGTACTTCTCATGAATTTCTTCATGTCCCAAGCCAGGCTTTTGGGCTTCCCAGAACCAGAATTGCACTGACAGACTCAAATAGCTGAATCCCAGCAATATAAACCAGAGCTTGTCTTTCATGGACTGAACTCCATAGGAACACACCTGGATTTCCAAATTAAGAACAAAGGAAAACTTGTAATGAAATCACAGATGTAAAAGCATTAAAAAATCTACAGTCTCCAACTCAGTCCACATCCTCAGTTGTCCTTTTCTTCTCTTAAGTGAAAATGGAATCTGATGGCATCTTTTTTTCCGAGAAAATTAACCATTTTTTCATTACCTACTTTCTTTAAAGACAAGATCATCAGTAACCCTCTTACTCTGCAGAGAAGCGTGACTTAGTGGGGTCCGAGGAAAAGCTGACCTCTGCAACCTCTTCTGTGAGGATATTTTGCTCCTCTGTCTTGCTGAAGCTAGTGTATTTGACAGTGCAAAAGCCCCAGGATATCTAGCAATGGAAGGAAGGTCATCACTGAAATATTGTGAATTGTAGCAATTGTGCAAGGATTGTTCATACTGTAAGAATTTTCACAGCTACATCCCAAGTCATTAAAGAGAAGGCTATTCTAGCCAGGTAGGTTTAAACAGAAATATGGGCTCAAAAGTCCACATAAGCACAGGCCTTATGAGGAGCACTGAATTAGCTGGGATTGGTCAGTCTGGAGAAGACTCAGGACACCTTATTGCTCTCTACAACTATTCTACGATTCTATGACTACCTGAAGGGAGGCTGTACAGAGCTGGGGGTCGGCCTCTTCTCTCATGCAACTGATGATAGGACTAGAGGGAATGGCTTCAAACTGTGCCAGGGGAGGTTTAGGCTGGATGTCAGGAAATACTACTTTTCTGAAAGAGTGGTCAGGCGCTGCAATGGGCTGCCCAGGGAGGTGGCGGAGTCACCGACCCTGGAGGCGTTCAAGGAGCGTTTGGATTTTGTGTTGAGGGACGTGGTTTGGTGAGAACTGTTGGTGATGGGCGGATGGTTGGACGGGATGATCTTGTAGGTCTTTTCCAACCTTGGTGATTCTATGATTTCTTTGAACTTCATGAAAATGAATATTCAACTCCGAGATCTCCATTGTGTTGCTGCCCCTTCTCTGTATTACAAAAGTTGATTCAGTCACCAACACACCAGTATGACGATTTGTTTAAAGAATGCTGCACATGACTGCCGTTGAGCTGGAACGGTCAACAAAGGAAAGGATGAGCGGGGAGAGGGACCTTCTGCACATCCCACGGCAGCAAACCAGGGAGCAACTCAGCTGGATGCAGAGACTCTGTGAACTCATCACTTCTCTTTGCAAGGCTGTGTACTACAGTACCTTTGCTCCTTTTTTTACTGATCCCCAGACTGGTGGAACTCTGAAGGCAGATGTGGGGATCCTCTGTGCTGTGTGTGAAGGTGAGTGCATATCCACACAAAACATGCACTTCTCCAATCAACTGAAGACTGTCTGGAAGGACTCGGTGCACGGCCATGCTAACCAGCATCAGCTTTACCCACAGCTAGCAACAAGGGCCTCCAAAATTTCAGGAGAATAGGAAATATACATTTCAGCTACTTTCGTATCAGTCTTCCGGAACACACACAGTAGAAATTATTATTATTATTTTTTGCCGTGGGAACTACATTCAGCTGTAAGGGCCATTACGGCAATAGCAGATCAGCAGTAAGTAACCACCTTACTGAGTCACTGTTCAAACTTGCTAATGGAGATGGAACAGTTAATTAGGCAATGGGATTAGCCAAAATACAATACATCTCCTTTATCAACACAATCCATGATGTGACTCTCATCTTTGCCCTGTACTTATGACCTTCATGCTATACAGAAGACATTCTTACTGCCACTACCCATGGGCAACACCTTCTTCTAATTACCTTCTGTTTGGAGGATTTCATCATCGGGGTTTCTGCTCTTGGTGTGTGTGTATATATGTGCACTCAGAGATGCACAAGCAGATATCTGATTGTACTGGAATACTTAGAGCACAGACTGACTGTGAAACAGCTCAAGAACCCATGTCTGCCATGAAGATAACAGGTGTTTTTGTGCTTCTCGCCCTGGCAGTTCTCTGCCTAGCAGGTGAGTAACCTTTTTTATTGGTTAACATGCTATAGTTACAATGCTTTATTACTGAAAATTCTTGATCTGCTAGGATAGATAGCGGTGGTTGCTGGGCTTGTGTGGCAGAAGGCAAGTGAAATTTTATGCTCATGCACCATTTACAAGCAACATTTCAGCAGCTTTGCAGTTGCCAACTTGTGTAGATGAAACCTATTCCTTGACAGCAGTGTGAATCAGAGCTGTGTTCTGCACTGTAACTAAGAAGTGATCTGTAAAGCCTCCAAACTCAAACAGGTTTTTTACCTACTCATTTTCTTCTTCAATCTGAGTGGGTTGCTTGGAGCTAATGAGATCCTTCTTCTGCCAAAGTGAGCAAGCAGGAGAGAGGTGATTATGCGCCAGCCATAGAATATGCTGTGAGCAGCCTCTTTGTGGGGTTAGTTTATTGGAGATAGCTTTGAGGCACAAGTTACTCTATCATAAAATACAGAGCTGAGAGGAATTTCTTGAGCCTTCACTTGATAGTTCAGTTTTTTGGAATACAAACTTGCAACATATTAAAAAAAAAAAAAAGACAGAAAAATAAAAATAAGTAAATAAGTACACTTAGAATAACTGAAAGGAATGCAGATCTTCACTGCTATTAGAATGGATGTCCAACAGCATTATTAATCTTAAGGAATGTTTTTTTAATGAGAAATATGCTTTCAGCCCACTTCATTCACTGCAGCAACAGCAACAAACATTGCTCCCACAAGAACTCCAGCAAATCCCTTCCTTAGACATTCTAGTTTATCTTACTACTTCAAAACTTTATGGATCGATACTTTATGAGCCAGATCTTTTTTGATGTACTGTGTAACTTATGCCAGCTTTCTTTACCTTGGATGACTTTATTTAATCAGAAGACGTAGGCAGTTTGATGGAAGCGAAGTTCAGTGGAAAGCTGCCTATCGTTAAAGATGCAGATCAGCTGCATTTAATTAGAAAAACAAGTCTTAGTGCCTGTATTGCTCCTTATAGCATATTGCACACTGCTCCTTCTGTACAAAGCCTCTGCCTGACTTTTATCCTTTTGAAGCCATAGAATGACAATCACAGGACAGGAGGAGAACAAAATACATTCCTATAGAAAGTTATGAATGTGTCAGCACAGTGGAGACATGCCAGTGTTACTTGATTACTTTCTGGAAGGTGTAATTAACACTGAGCAGCTGTTTTGAAGGAGCTTTTCGAAGCCCCACCTGAAATCAGGGCTCTATTATACTGGGTGCAATGTGTGTAAGGAATAGGAAACAGTCCTTCTGACAAATAGTTTAGAACCCAAGGCAAGGGAAAACACATTCTAAAATTGGTACTATGATCCAAATTTCATCATCATCACAATCTACATTATATTTCAGTAAAGTTATATCCTCATTGTAAACAGGAAAAAAAAGGATATAAGGAATGTGTGCCTTGCTTACAAACACGTGAGTTTTTTTGAAGACCTAGGAATTAAAACCCAGTCGTGCCCAACTCGTTCATCCACAGAACATGAGCCATGTGACGTAATAATAACTCCTGATTCTTTAATCTTCCTCTGATGGAAAGGGGAACAATAGACTCCAATTCCCAAATAGCAAAGGCTGTTCAAGCTGCTGACGCTGATTCCTAAGGTAAACAAGGCAGTGATTCCCACTTGTTGGATAAGTCCTGACACAGGTAACTTATACAACACTGAGGAACTATGTAAGTATTTACTTTCAAGAAAGCAAGAGAGGTGGAGTTGCTGGGCGGGTGCTGATGAGGGCAGCCCAGATGCAAAATGAAGATTCACCAGCAGTGTTCTTTTACTTCATCTTTTGTGATTCTGTTTATATTGCAGATGCTGCCCAAAAGGATGAGGTGAGTCACTTTCTTCTTTATTTCTGGATAAAAATATATAGTTTGTAGTGACAGCGCAGCAAGATCAATGAGGTCAGAAAAAACACATTAACCAATTGCTGCCAAAGTCAAAAAGAAATCCCCAAGGCTGAGATATGTGGCTTCCATACAGTTGCTCTGACACTTTCCAGATGTTGTTATGTATAAGGCAGTCTGGGCAAGAAATAGATCAAGGCAAAATTGTAAGCCAGAAAAATCAGGATTTTATATATTTATCTGGTGACAACATTGTAAGGCTTACTTGGTGACTTTCAGATCCTAAATTGCATATCCAAAATTTTAATTTACCCTGTCTGCACTGGATTGTCCATCCTGGAGTCACCCTCTGAGATCAACGAGGCACTAAGCAGTAAAAATCCTTCGTCAGGTGAGGAAAGAGTTCATTGGGGATTGCAGCGAGCAGCAGTGATGCGTGGAGATTCACCCACTCTTACAGCACAGCACACACAGCCTCTGATGCTGGAACCCAGGCTAAGGCACACACTCTTTTCCAGGAGGAGCCAGTTCCACTTTCTTTTCCATTTTACCAACTGTTATGTAGAAACAAGGCAAATCCATTTGATTTGTAGCTTGTTTTGTTATCTGACCTTCACCACCCACAGGCTAGCAACTGAGCAGCCTTATGTTGAAAATTGCAAGCTATGGATTCCCTCCCATGCCACTGCCTTCGCTGGGTTATGTGACAGAAAGCTGCTGGCCATTAGGTCTCTGATCTCCTCCTGCAACTGGGGCCAGTGTTTGACATGCATTGAAGAGAAAAGTGACCAACCAAAGGAAAAGACTGAATAAACCAGTATCTCATGGGCTTCTCTTATGGGGCAATGGGTTTGAGCCCAGAATACCTCAAGAAGTAATTGGTTAATGACCCTTTTGCCAGGGGAGACCTCTCAATTTGCTGATCATCACAGCAGCCACAGCACAGGCTGCTGAAGGAGCTGAGCACACATGGCTCATTGCTCCTCACTCACATGCAGCCCCTGGACAACAACTGTCACAAAAATAGTCACAGAACCTGTAATAAGCTCCAGGTCTTGGCTGGAGTAATATTCCTTCACTAAGAGATGGGACAAAGGGTAAAAAACAGGGCCACAAAAAGACAGCAGCAAAGCCAGGTTCTATTTTAAATGCTTACGTGTGTAAAAGATATTTCTGATAGATCTTCAGAAAGCAGAAGCTCCAGTCATAGCCTCCCTGCAAAGACTCATGTTTCAAATTCTCGCAAGGCTGGTAGTGAGCAGAGCTGAGCCAATATGAGTTGCAGCAGCACAAAAAAGAAAGGTGATTTCCTAGGTGAGCAAACTCCAAGCTTTCAAGGATAACAAACAATACATTGAATAGAATATGTGAACTATACAAGAAGCTCCTCAGCTGGCAAATAGCAGGAATGACATTCATTTCACAAAAGAAGCCTGAGCTCTGGAAAGAGGACAGGAGCTCTTTCAGGGATTTCTTTTATTAGTTTGTACTCCCATTTTTATATGTACTTCTATAACAAATACAGTCCTACTGTCAGATGAGAGAGAGCCTTTCAACAGCTTCTTTTCATTTACACAGGACTTCGTCTAATTCTGCCGGATCTCTTCACCGTTGTGAAAAGTTGTGTTTGTGGAAAGGAGACAGAAAACCTTCACATCCTTGAAAAATAATCTTACTTTAATTTACTGACAACTGCAAGCATGGGGAAAATATATATTAAGACTCAAAATTTGTAAATGGAAAATGAGCTGTATTATTTCCCTTTATTAATTCAGGCAGACAGCAGAGTTCCCAAAGGTGCTCAATACCTGCCATCATACATTTCTTTCTTATGGCTTGGGCTCAGCTAGTTCAGATGGTGGAGCTCCCCTGACTGCTGCTCTGCAGCAGCTGATAGCTTTGCCCAGAGATGTTGCATTATCTCTGTATGTGAATGATGAACGTGAGAAAGGCTTATTCCAACATAAATGATGTTGTATTTGCAGGTAGACTGCAGTGAATACAGGAGGTTAGAGAGAGGAAGACCTATTTACTGCGAAAAGCTCTACGAACCTTTTTGTGGCTCTGATGGGAAAACATATAACAACAAATGTTCTTTCTGCAAGGCAGTCCTGTAAGTAAGATACTGAGTGATGACTTCTGAATTAGCTCAAATCTGAGATGAGCTATCTGGCATTTCCACTTCATTTTGTCCAGGGTCTCTGCTCCTCTGTTTCTCTGCTTAACCTTTACAGAGTAACTGCTTCTCCCCAGCAGTTGAACAGTAAGGCCCAGTTCATCCAAAGAGGTGCCTTTGGCGTTTGTGGGAGCAGCTTCCTGCTCTAGGAGAAACTAGAAGTGGAACAGACCAGAGGAGAGTCCACTGAACAGCACTGGGCTAACAAGGCACCAAATTGGGTGATATCAGAACTCAAATGTGGAATTTCCAATATTGGAAATATTTCTATATTGGAAATATCGAAAATATCAGAGCTTTCTTACTTCTTATGCATAAGATACAGCATTTTTAAAAGAAAAAGCTTTATAAATCAGTGTCTTCTTGCCTCCTGCAAATGTTCACAGTGTCTTTTCTGTTAGCAAATTGTTGGCTGAGGACTTCAAAGAGATTTTAGTCCACAATGGAAAGTTTACTGTCTGCACTGTCTTTCCTTTCCTTCACAGGAAGAGCAGAGGAGCCTTACATATGAAGCAAGCAGGTGTATGCTGAATTAATTCTGCATGACAGAGAAGAATGCCAAGAACAGCTTTACACTGCCTTATCGTGATCTCCTAATTTAATTTCATTCATCCTGTACTAATAAAAACGAACAGATCTCCATGTACACCTTTCAGCTGTGCTCTGATGTCTGCTGCTTCTCCCTGCTCTGGAGCGCAGGGGCTGACACATCTGTCATCCCTGCAAATCTTCCTCTGGATACCCATAAGCATTCCTCTTTCTGCAGCATGCTGGTTTTCACGTGAGCACTGCATGATGCATTTGTCTCCATAGCGAAAGTTCAGATCCCTACATTGCCACCTGCAGGCACTGCTCAGTTTTCCTTGCTGGAGCTTGCTCCCACTCGCTCTTTTCAGACGCTTCCTTTCAAAAGCTTCAGCTTCCCAGTGAAGCGCTCAGGCTCCTCCAGTTTTGTAGCTAAATTTTTGATTCTCCTTTTTCTTTTGACTTTGTACAATTCTGATTCACATACGTTGTGTAACTTCTTAGATTGCATGTTTATTAAAACAAACGTAGGCTCTTTTCTTTTTGTCTGTGGTGACCTCTCTAGAGAATAAATTTGTTATATCAGTTATTCACAAATGAGACGTGGAGTCACAGAAACTAGTTACAGAGCAGGAGCCAGAGGCAGTGTGCTGGCAGAGCAGAGCTCAAGACAACTGTTGTAATATTAGCAAGACACACTAGATGGCCCCATGTTATTGAAATTTACCCTGCAATCAGGCCCACTTTTTCCTTCGAATGAAACAAATCCATAAATGTGCAGGACTGTGTAAGCTTTGAAGCTGTGTCTCTGTTAAACCCAGTAATGTGATCTATGAATGATTCTTTTAATTTCTGATAACTTGTCTGCTCTCAGACCTGAAGAAAACTGTGTTCTACTATTATGTCTGTATTATCTTCATTATTAAGCTGCCCTATGTCTTTGACACTTAAATAGTCAGCCAAGGGAGCACATTTTCCACAATTAAAGCTTATTAATGAATGAATTTACTGGGATTACATCTGAAGAAAACTTTGGAACTGGAATGTAAGACTCATACTTTAGAGGAACATAAAATCAGGCAGGAAACTTCTGTCCTTGCCTTTGAAGATGAGATACCAGAAAGCTGAGCCATCCCACTGCTGGCTGAAAGGCACTGTAGTTCCAGGCAGACAGCATTCCGTAACAGAGGGACTGAGAGGATCTGTTGGTCCATTACGTACCTGCCATGTCCTGGCAGAGCTGAGAACATCACCCTCATGCTTTGTACGGGAAAAGAGGATACTGGCAATTATGTGATACTGAAAATGACCAGAGATGGTCTTTCGCATGTTACTACTTTATTGTGCCAGGATCCAGCTGTGAGTACTGAGATTCCATCATCTTTACTTTGAAATAGCTAGCGTGGCCCTGCCATGGCTGTCTTGGATCACAATTCTTCCCAGCACTTCTCTGGCACATTCTGGAACTGGCTAGAGATCACTGCTGGACAGAAAACTGTATGAAGGCACCTGGTTTTAGAAGGCAGAAGAGATTTCATAGCACAGATATGCTATGAAACTAGCTGATACGCAGACTTGCCATCCTCCACATGAGAAAGGCTCCATTTAATTTGCTGCTACATGCGTATAATATGAACTGGTTCAACCATTTTAAAACTAATTGTATTCGGTACATCGGATACAAATCTTCTGGTATTTGATGTTGATTTTGCTGATTATAGTAAGTAACTGGCAGGGGTCAAAATGGATTTGAAATCCATTTTTTTTCCTGATTTTGGTTCTCAATTGCAGAGATGAAAACATCACACAGAACAGTATGTGGTATGTAGGGGGCCTGAATCCCAAGGAGTCCCAAAGATCTATTCTCTTTTTTATACATCTGCTGCCTTTCAGAAACTCAACAGCTCTTTAGGAGGAGACTCTTAGTACTCACAGAACTCAGAATACAAAACATTAACAGCGTCTTTGGGAAAAGAAATTTAAAAGCTCAACAGCAGTAAAAGCTGTATGCAATTGATGACCTTGGCCATGAACAACCAAAAGGAAGATAAAGCTGAAAAAACAAGAAAAGAAAGGAAAAAAAAAAAAGAAAGAAAAAAAAGGAAAAATGAGGAGTAATGAAATGTTGAAGCCCATAACCCTAGAAAAATTGAGTGGTATATTCCAAGCAAGAAAACAGCATGAAACGAAAATACTCTGCATTTTTATGTCAAATACTTCTAAAAAATGAGTGAATTTAACAAAATTCTTCCTCTTTCTGATTCTCCATTTCCCTAAAGCATTACCTATCCTGGTAACACTAAGTAGGGAACACACAAAAAATCCTGGTCAGCATTATTATATGCTATTCCCATTCACTGCTGTGTCCCCTGAAATCCCATAACAAGAGTGGTGTTCATTCCCCCCTGTGGGAGCCTTCAGACTCCTTTCTAAGGGACGGTGGTACTTGTAGTACATTAAGAACCTTCTCATCACTCTGTGTAACTCAAACGTCATTAGGACTGATGTTGGGCTATCTGTGACCTTGGCTTTAACTCTCCTCTTTCAGAAGGGACAGAATGGACATGTTATTTTCTAAGTGGCGCATAAGCAGAAGATGCTCATTTTGGTGTCCTATTGAGGTTATCAGTTTAGATCGACAGTCTGAGCCAAGTGCCAGGGTAAAACTGGAAACTTAAACATTCGGGCTAATGAAGGTGGATGAAGGGTTTCCGAGCAGACCACAGTCCCCTTCTCTTTGAAAGTGCAGTCAAGATTAATTAGCACCACGTGTCAAGGGATGAACTGCTGCTGTGAATGCTGGATCACACAAGTGGCTTATGTGAGGAACAGAAAGCTCCCAGAATGAGCAGTGTGGTCACTCTCTTCATGGCACCTCCCAGTGTGTGTTTCTGCTTGGTGTATTCTTCTCAACAAACTCAGACTTCATGTGTGGTGTGTAGGGAGAAAAGTGTTTGAGAGCATCATCTTCAGGAGAAGAGTTAGGTACAAATGGCATCTATTTATTTCCTCTCTGAAATAGAAGAGGCTGGAAAGCCTTGTAATTCTAATAGGAACAGAGAAATATGGACCTTTTAGTGATTTGCATGACTGCCTTCCCAAGGTCTATATATTATGAAAACACTGGAGTAAATGGATGTTAGTGTTTTATTATTATTATTATTTGGCCCTCCAGCCAAAGATAGGAATATCACCTAATATTGAAATATTTTTTAAGTTGCCATGTCTTGAAATTGCAGTTAGGACAGCTGACTAGAAAAATACCTCCATTGGGCCATGAGAGTATTCTGGTCGTTTTAATGCTTTTGTTCATTCTCCTTCAGACAGACTGCTCACATGAGTACATTAATTAGATATGCTGCTGGTAAAGAGCTAAATTGTACACCTGGTCTAAGGAGAAGTTGCTGTCAGGGCCACAGGTGCCCATTTCTGGCATGAGAACAGTGAGACTTAAAGTCTGAGTGCATTGACAGGTGAATGGTGCCAGTCAGACAGCCCTGCCTGTTTTTTTTTGGAGTAAGATATGTGTAAAGCATGTGCGTGTAGGCAGATGTGCAACTAAGGATAAATCAGTGGTGACAAAAAAATCTGCCAACGTGTTATTTCTCATCAGCTGGAGTTGTTACCTGTTAAAATACATAAGCTGAGAAAGGTAAGTAACCTAATTATCTTTGTATTGAATGAGAAGGAAAAATGGAGGATGCTAGTCGAAAACTGTTCTGCCTGTTCTAGCACAGGGACTAAAACCAGCACTGCCCTGCATTTTGATTGTCTGGAAACCAGGCCCAAGCAATGAGGCAGCAGGAATGCAAATGAGTGAAGCAAAAGTTTCTCAGAGCTCAAAGGCTTCTGGCTTTGGACAGGCAGCCTAGAAGTTTCCCAGGACAGATCATCCTGCCATGACTGCATCTTGGCTGAGAAAGATCACAGTGAGTGAACAGAATCAGACTCTGATCTTTTATCACAATGACAGAAAACCCAGCAGACAATTTGGGGGATGTCTTCTGTCTTGTAGCTTGGCCTGTTACAGGCAAAGTGAATACTCACATCAGCTGCTTTAGTATATTCAAGTTTTTAAGCAACTGTTTGTGTGAACCAAGTTTCCCATACAGCCAATGCACATTCACAGGGGTGACAGAACCTGGTTAGGTTTGAAGGCCTAAGATGCACAGGATGTACATCCACCACAGACCTCTGGAACTCTAATTCTTTTCTGATCAATTCTGACATGAAACAGTAGCAGAGAGCAACACTGTCCAATGTGACAGGTTTGAGCCCTTTATCTCCTTCTGCTGGCAACATGTGGTGGCCCATAGCTGCAGATAACACTGAGAAGCATATCAGCTTTTGCCACATACCAGACCAAAGAATTTGCATACTGCTGTAAATGACATCTGAAAATAAATGCTGAAGCAGCCAGACAATCTGGACAGTCAAGCTTGTGCAATGGAGCAATGACATAGAAATATGGGGAAGAAAAATGTGCATAGCTTGAGTGAGCTAATGAAACATGCTCAGATCCTGTTTGCTTGAAATAATGGGCAGCCAGATGTTGGCGTAGAACGCAAAAATAGAGCGCATGTCCTTGCACTAAAAGAGCATGCAAGTTTTCAAAAGTCTGCTGAAAAGGAACTCATGTATCATTGATGTATCTTTATACATACGTAGAGGAGAAGGTAGAAGCTTCACAGTAAGGTCTTCTTATGCTTTCTTTTTTCCTTCTGTTACAAGAGGTAATGAAATATGGGCCTGAAAATGAGATGGTTTGGATTCCTGGAAAAGAGAATGACTGTGCTATAATAAAACTACTTCACTTGCCCATGAAGCCCAAACTCTGTTTTCTAATTACTGTCATTGCTGTAGCAAGGCAATCATGGATGTCCAACCTTTTGGCTCGCCTGGGCTGCACTGAATGAAAAGGAATTGCCTTGGGCTGTGTATTTGCAGGTCACTCCAAAAGTAATGCCTCCTGTATGTTTCCATGGAAATGATAACAGATACAAATA